TCAGCTTAAAAAGGGACTGGAATTTAGAGATCCCAAATGCAGCTTATTGCTTCTCTCAATATTTGTTTGCCTCCTGTGACAGTGGATTTTTTTTTTTTTTTTTTTTTAACCTCTCCTTACAACAACACTGACCAAGTGATGTTGACAGACATTTTCACCCACCTGAGACAATATAAAATTTAGGAAATTCTGCATTCTACATGTTGCTTTGGAGAGTCACAAGAAAATTCTGAGAAATCCTGCAATAAGTAAATCAATTTAATTTTGCTGAACCCATGTCTCCCAAACATATCCAACTATGAATAAACCTTTTTTTCTTTTCTCTTTTGGGGGTACCCAAATGAGAGAGAGCTGCACCCATCCAACCCCTCACATTCCACTTTGGGAAGTTCTGGGTTAAGATAAGGCCTCCAGGAGCAACTGTCTAAATCCCCATGGCAGCAGGGAGGGAGGAATGGTCAAATGTCCACCCCAGAGAGCGGCTGCTGTCCACACTGGCAGGTCGTGCTACACCGCCATGCCCAGGGCCACGGTATGTCAAAGGGCCCGGGACCCACCAGTGAAGAAGCTGTAAAGCAGGGGCAGGGCAGTACCCTGGTCCTTTCTCTGCCTGCTGCTCGGGCGTTCCTCTGCAGGCATGCCACAGGATGCAGTTCACCCTGACAGCCATGGGAGGAGGTACCTGGAATCCTGTTTACCATGCAACATAAGTCCGCACCCACTTTGAATTCTAGAATGACAGGAAGGACAGATTCTTCCTCCACTGCAGCAAATGCCATCACTCAATGGGGATAGAGTTCCAAAACTGACAACACAACATGGTGTGTGTACCTCTGTGGGGGCAGTGTGTGCGTTTACAGACCCCAAAGGGGCTGACAGTTAAGCAAGCTCTGCTATGGTCCAGGAGACACCCGTGTTCAGACGCATGCAGCCCTAATGCCTAGACCCTGGAGTAGATGCCAGTGCTGTCTCTACCCTTCTTTGGCAAGTCACTTACCCTCTCTGAGCTTTAGTTTCCTCTTTGGTAAAACAGCAATGTTAGTAATAGTAATAGGGTGATCAAGTTTAATACTTGCAAAGTGCTTAGACCAGTGCTTGCCTAACTCTAGGTACAATATAAGTGTCTGTTAAATAAAATAGTATCATTCACCTCTAATCCCAGCTATTCAGGAGGCTGAGGCATGAGAATCACTTGAATCCGGGAAGCAGAGGGTGCAGTGAACCCAGATAGCACCACTGTACTCTAGCCTGGGCAACAGAGCAAGGCTCTGTCTCAGAAAAACAACACAAAAAAACCCAAAAATAAAATAGTGTCATTAAGTGTTTCCCTCAACTGATAAACCTTTTCTTTCATACTAGATGGTGACATATAGCATTGGTGAAACAAGGCCCTTGCATACCTTGCTTTAGGGCATCCTCCCCGAGTCATGATGATGACACACAAAAGGCCTGTGCCCACACTGACTTAGCTGCCTGCAGGCTCTCCCAGCTTTCTGGCGAACTGTGGTCACAGGTTATGGAGAACCAGCTGTCACTGGTGTGTGCTAAAGATCTGGCCTCAGTGGTTATCGGAAATTCTGCAGGAAAGGAACAAGCAGGCAGGACAGGAGGCATGGCTGCAGAGTCACAGATGGGCCAGCAATTACCCTGCACACGAAGGTGTCTTCCAGGGACCTGCCAGTCCTGCTGATGCAGGCAGCGCCTCCGAGGAGCCCCTGGAGGGAGCAGGAGAACCTGGCCCTGCCTCGACCTCACGTCCCTCAGTAATCCTTAACTCAGCTGTGAAAAACAATAAAATAAAAACTACTTGAAAAATAGACCCAAAAAAACGTACCAAATAGAAACAATAAAGGGAGTTTATTGAAGCCTTGGTGATTTTTTCTTGCTATCTTTGTGATGTACTTGAAAATATCATCATACAAATATATTTCTATACTTTTTTTTTTTTTTTTTTTGAGACAGGGTCTTGCTCTTTCACTCTGACTGGAGTGCAGTGGTGTGACCTCAGCTCACTGCAGCCTCTGCCTTCCAGGATCAAGAGATCCTCCCACTTCAGCCTCCCAGGTAGCTGGGACCACAGGCATGTGCCATCATGCTTGGCTAATTTTTGTGGAGACAGGGTTTTGACATGTTGCCCAGGCTGGTCTCGAACTCCTGGACTCAAGCAATCTGCCCACCTCGGCCTCCCAAGGTGCGGAAATTCAGGCATGAGCCACCATAGCTGGCCAATTTCTATACATTTTTAAAAAGAAAAACAAATGCATCATCAAAAAGATTGTCTAACAAATACATTTTAAAAGACCAAGAAACTTAAAAACAACAAAGCAGATATATGTGTGAATCATGTCACAAGTGGTGGAGTGAAGGACCTGCTTTTGTTACATAAGATTAACCCTTACGCAGGTTACATAAAAAGGGATTTGCAATAATCCAATGCTCTACTGTATATTAACACTACCACAGATAGAATTTTAGAAGTCTCATAATTTATATTATGTAGTTTTTATAAAAATATCCAGGGAGCTGTTCTTAAGAATATAGGCCAAGAGGCTGGGCATGGTGGCTCACGCCTGTAATCCCAGCACCTTGGGAGGCCAAGGCGGGAGGATCACGAGGTCAGGAGATCAAGACCATCCTGGCTAACATGGTGAAACCCCGTCTCTACTAAAAATACAAAAAATTAGCCAGGCATGGTGGCGGGCGCCTGTAGTCCCAGCTACTCTGGAGGCTGAGGCAGGAGAATGGCATGAAACCAGGAGGCGGAGCTTCCAGTGAACCGAGATCACGCCACTGCACTCCAGCCTGGGGAACAGAACGAGACTCCATCTAAAAAAAAAAAAAAAAAAAAAAAAAAAGAATGTAGGCCAAGATTGGGCAGTCATGATAAATTTCTCTTTAAGCCTAAGGACGAGGGGCCCCCACAGCTGCTATTGGGGGTGCTGGGTGTGGGGCAGGCTCTCCCACTCTCTAGCTCACACACTGTGAACACAGCAGCCTGGCACACATGCACACACATGAGGGTCCCAGACACCTGGGGCTATCAGGGCCCATCACATTGTGCAGTCTATGTGCTCAGGGAGAGGTGGGAACACATAGCCTCAAGAAGCAGAAACGCCAGGCCTCAGTCATGGCCAGCTCAGCTTCCGGTTCAGGGTTTGCACGCTGCTTTGAGCCTTTGCTTTTACAGTTGTTGCCTTTAAAGTTCTGAACATTTGGGGCATGGCTCCCTCTAATGAGCAGTGCACCTCTCACCTCAATGCACATCTTTAAATGTGTCTTTTTTGTCTTGTCTGTGGCAGCATACACTTGCTTCTGTGAACCACCAGATGACGTACATAGGCTAATTTTCATTTGGACCAACGTGAATGCTGACGTACAAAGGGCAATATCAAAGCAGGTCTAGTGTGTTCATCAAGTATTTCTAAACTTCCCTGATTTTAATTCCTGTTACTACAGTACTTGGGTAGGCATAGTGCATCTTAAAGACTTTTTTCATGTAACGCAGGCATAATGCAATGTGAAGAAAATTATCACTGAGAGGAAAACTGTTTCCCCAAATTACGACTTACATCGACAGTAATGAGAAGCTATTAAAATAGATTTTTGCAAAATTTCTAAGCTGATCTGCTGCTTGGAGTTTTGAGATTTCCCACTGCTCTGCTATTTTCCCATTCTGTACGCACAGCACAGATTCCTGCCAAGCCTATTACAGTGAACAAACAATGTCCTCTCTGTCAGAACAGAGAATGAATAGTATCACAAAATTCTCCTCTAATGTACAGCCTACATTTCCCTCACCCCAGCCCCTTCAGAACAGAATAACCAGGGTGAGGACCGAGGAGGAAAACAGGACTCTCCCCTGGCCAGTCGGAAACTGCCTTCCAGAACACTAAGGGCTAGGTAGTATCAACCATACCATATTAACTTCTCAACAGAGAAAGTTGACAAGTTTATTTTCTTTTAAGGGGGATCATATGTTTTTGCATTTCTGTGTGTGTGCGTACACAAATATCTTTATAAGGAAGGAGGTGTTTCATCAGATAAAATTTTAGGTGGCATTTCATCAGATAAAATCAGACAGCTTTTAGCTACAGACTGAGCAGCGACAGGGGAACTTCATAGAAATGACACAGCAATTTGTGCTAAAATATTGGCAGCTAATTCATGAATGCCAAAGCTGACTATGAATTCGGCTGCTTCTGTTAAGCCTTTATTCCCACTAAGCTCATGATTTACAAAGAAAGCGCCTAGAGTTACTCCTCTGAAACATACAGTATCATGCTGACAGATTCTTCTTTGGTTTCTCTCTCTCTCTCTGTCTCTCTCTCTCTCACACACACACACACACACACACACACACACACACACACACACACCCCCCTCCCCACAAGAGGCATTAAAGATATGATTTCCAAAACAAGAACTTCATGAAGCATTTCTCACAAACCAGTAAAAGACTTACTAAAGGCTTACTTAGCAGGTATTTTCATAGAAGAACATGGAGTTCCTTAAAATCTTTCATACTTGTCTCAGCTGGTGTAAAATATTTTGATTTAGGCTTTCCCCTCTTGTGACATGAATGCAGCATATATTTTATTTTAACCTCTAAAGGAAACTACTTATTTTTTTGCTCATAAAGGATGAAATGTTATTTTCATAATCAAACCCCGCTGGCTTTTGTGTTCATGAGTATCTGTAACACGAAGAAAAAAGGCCAGCCTCTTCTTTCCTCCTCATTTCCCACACATTTTCCATACAGCTCAGTGAGCTCCCAGATTCTGATGGCATTCTCCTGGTAACACATTTAGAAGAGGCTGCAGGATACCCCAACAGCACTGCTTTCTTCTCTGTCTCTCTTTCTCTCTCTCTCTCCCTCTCTCTCTTTCTCTCATATCACTCTAGGTCTGTATGAGACTAAACAATTAAACCTTTGTGTTGTGCCACTGCCATTCGAAAAGCCTAATGGTGTGTCCCTTCATTGGTACAATGGTAATATTTACCTTGGAGGAAATGTTTGTCCCAAAGAGTATTCCAAATTCTGGCAATGTATTCCCTTTGAAATGTCGTGGTGAGACTTCTCTCTTCTTTCTTGGCCTACAGCCAAAAAGAAGGAAAGTTAGAAAAAAAGGCAGATGGATATACACTGTGAAAGATACTTGTTCAGTTCACTGTAAAAACGCTAGTGTACTTACGCCAAACACTGAGATTTATATTCTTATATTCCTTCCTGAACAAAGCAAACTGAAATGTAGAGGCACAACTATAGACATTAACAATTAAATTAAAAATTTCAGTAAAGAAAAGTTTGTATCTCCCCATACCCCAAAAAATTTTAATAAAAAAACAGCCAAGTGTCTAATCAAATACAAATCAATTTACTGGCTCTTTCCATATTTTTCCTAGTTATGCCAAGTAAATCTCTGTGTTACTACAGTGATACTAATTCAAGTAACTGTTTTCTGAATTTGAAATAAAACAAGTGATTTGTTTGAAAAGAGCATTTATACTTTTTGGTAAGGTAAGCTGTGATTCAGTTCTGAAAATTTCTTATTAGAAGGAGACTTTGGTGCAGCGTGAACAGTGTGACCTGGACAACATGCAGATCGAGCCCCGAGTCGTCCCTTCACACATTCTGCTGTGGAAATGGGGAAGATGTTCAGAGAAGGAGAGGATACATGGGCGACTTCCCTTGCTCTCCCTCCTGATTCACGAGCTCCCCAGTCCTACCTGTTGTTCTGCTGTTTTTGGTGCCTGGCCCTTCCTCCAACCCCCCTTCCTCTCTAGTTCTCTTCCCATCCTCAAATAAGTCTCTCCCATATTGAACACTTACTTTACATAAGACACCATGACAAGTGCAGTGTGAAAGGGAGGCGGGGAGAGGGACGGAATGAACGAATGAATGAACGAATGAACGGATGAAAGAACGGCTGTGTTTATACTCTAAGGAGAATATCCTGGCTGTTGACTAAGATTCAGAACCTCTCAATCATTTTAACCAACTGAGGCATAATTCCCGATTTCCAACCTAACGAACGGAGTGGAACATGAGCCTTCTAGATTTGCATCTACTGATGTTCTTTTGTTAGAACCACATATTATCATCTTAGACTGTGTGTTGCTTTCTCTGATAGCAGAGTCAGCAGAATATTTATATTATCTTGAGGTGTATCTATTGTTTCCCTGACAGTTTGAAAGTGAGAAACTGCTGCCTTTTGTTTGCCACTGCATTTAGCTACATTATTATTTTCTTTTAATAAGTGTAAAAAGACCAGAACAAGACACACAATCATGGGCTGTCTTCTTCTAAGCCGACTCCAGGGCTTTCTGCTGTCAGTCACATCAACTAGGAGACAGGGCTTCGCTGCGTGCAGGGCTTGATAGACAACTGAGTTCCCAAGCCATCGTTCTACTCTTTTATTAGACTTCAAGTCAAGCCTCCTTCTGAACCCCTGCCATGCAGATATATTTAGATGTGGATTCCAATCATAAGCCTCTCCATTTTTCCTTGTCATCATGGTCAATCCAGGGAATTCTCCTGAATTGGTCAGAAATATGAGCAAGATTTAATTATCTAAATCAAATTGCTGCAGTTAAAAGGTAAACTTTAAAGAATTAACAATTTTTTTTAGGAAAGGTCAAATTCTATTACTGTGTATTAAAAATAATGTTTGGATGTGCTTTCTCTATTACCAGATATGAGCACAATCCTGATTTGAAAATTGGAGATAAGATTTGACAGTTAATTTAATAATATAAAAATGGTGCACAGTTTTGAATTTTCAGAATATACATTTTGTGACTTAAAAATATTCCAAGAAAACAAGGTCATCAAGACACTGTGGTACTGTCATAAGGAAAGACACATAAATCAATACTTTAGCATCCAGGAATAAACCCATAGATTTGTATTGCTTCAATTATATGGCCAATTGAGTTTTTGGCAAGGGTGCCAAGTCTATTCAATGGGGAAAGGACAGGCTTTTTCAACGAATGGTTCTGGAACAACTAGACAGCCATATATAAAAGAATAAAGTTGGACCCTTAACTCAGACTACAGAAAAAGTTAATGCAAAATGGATCAAATACCTAAATGTAAGAGTGTAAACTACTGTTAGAAAAGAACCAAAGGGCTAAATCTTCATGAGCTCAGATTTGGCAGAGGCACGTGACCCCAAAAGCACAAGCCAACTAGAGAAAAAACAGATAAACTGGACTTCATTAAAATAAAAATATTTGTAATTTAAAGGACAATATTAAGATAATGAAAAGACAACCCAAAGAATAGGAGAAAATATATGCAAATCATATGTGATAAGGGATTTTATATAGAGAGAATATATAAATAATTCTTATAACTCAATAACAAAAAGACAACCCAACCAAACATAGGCAAAGGATCTGAAGAGACTTTTCTCCAAAAAAGATACACAAATAATATATAAACACATGAAAAGATGCTCAACATCAGTGGCCATCAATAAAGTGCAAATCAACCACAATGAGATACCACTTCATACCTTCCTAGTGATTTGCACTTGGCCATAATAAACATGTCTAAGCTAATAACAAGTGTTCAGAGGATGTAGAGATATCAGAACCCCCATGCCCTGCTGACGGGAATGTAAAATGACACAGCTGCTTTGAAACAGTCTGGTAGTTCCTCAGAATGTTAAACAGATAGTTACCATAGGACCCAGCAATTCCACACCCAAGTATATAGCTAAAGAAATGAAACTACACAACCACACAAAAACTTGCACATAGATATTCACAGAAGCATTATTTGTAATACCAAAAGAAGTAGAAACAATGTCCCTCAACTGGTGGATGGGTATACACAAAATGTGGTATATCTATACAAAAAAAAAATTATTCAGCCATAAAATAGAATAAAATACTGGTACATGTTACAACATGGATGAACCTTGAAAACATGCTAAGTGAAATAAACCAGTCACAAAAAAACATTTTATATGATCCTGTTTATAAGAAATGTCCAAAATAGGCAAATATATAGAGATAGAAAGCAGATTTATGTTCCTTAGGGCTGGGGGAGAAGGGGTGATGAAAATATCCTAAAATTGATGGTTGTACTTTAAATGGATGACTTGTATGGTATGTGAATTGCATCTAAATAAAGTTCTTATGAAAAATAATATTCCACGGATTTGGATGTTATAAGCATCAGTCATTTTTCGGATCAATCTTAAAAAAAATGGCAAACCCCAAAATAATTTTAGCTGGAATCATGGGAGTTGTGACACTAAGCAGATAACCTAGCTGCACTGCAAACTGTCATGCCCTGACTGGGGCGACTTCAGTATAATTCTGATAGACCAAACACTCCTTTAGGTCTCCTTTCATGTTGCTGATTATTTCCAAGGGTGATAGAGATAATTAGGTTATCAGGGTATAGAGATAATAAGGTTGATCACTGCAAATGATTATTGACCCAATCAAACAGAAATCCCATACTTTCAATATAGATTTCTTTTTCCACCGAATGGAATTTTAGGACTTCTAATACTGATGATCTAGTCAAATGTGACCTCTCCCTGAAACCCACATATCCTGTCCGTGGAATGCCACGCTCAGCAGTTTCTGTTACACCTGGCTCTCTGACAGTTTTCATGAGGACAGTTGGCGACTTCTTAATGGCCCAAGCAAGTGAACTCCAGGAGTTCAGGATGTGTTTTTACCAAACTAACCTGAACTGTTGTTCTGGCTAAAGCCACTCAGCAGAACTGAAACAGAGCTCCATTCTGGGACACTGAAACTCTGAGGGATGAGATGGGCACCTGACAGATGGCCTGAGCTGAGCCCCTGCTGGCAGTGCTGAAGAGGGTCTAAGGAAAGGAGTGTTTTCTCAAGGTTATATCCTAACAGTCTCTTCTGGGGAAGGAGTAATGATGTTGAGAGTGTATCTCCCTGCTATCTGGGTAGACAAATACAGGGATTGAGGAGAACAGACTTCAGCAATCTACTCCAAATTCATGTCTGACTTTTAAAACCTGTACCCGGAGGCAAGATGACTACTCAGTATGAGACTAGAATCATGAAGCTCAATTATAGATTCTCAAATTTAAAAGAAACTTAAAGGTCATCCATAAATCAACCTCACTTGATACTTGAAGCCTTTCTACAATGTCCGTGACATCTCGTCTATAACTGCAATGTCAAAAGGACTCGGTTAAACAGAACAGTTCAATGTACTGAGCACGGAATGAATCACAGTGCTTGGAATATAGTAATTGCTCAATATTTATTCACTGATTGAGTGAATTTAAAAAAATCAGAGTAGGCTCAAGGATGTTGCTATAATAAAACCTCTCTCACTCACAGTCCCTGAAGACAGAGAGGAGAGTAGGATTACAGGTTGCTCATGATTGGCATACTACTGCAGCAATATTTCCCACATGCAAACATCATTCCAATAAATACAATACTTTATCTATGTTGCAATGGAAATAAACCAATAAACGAAACTTAGACCTGCTAATCTACCTATGCTGAATTCCCTTCCACAACAAAGGGCTTCCTCCATCCCAAGGAATCCCTTTCTGTCTCTGGGAAGTGTTGTTAAATTTGAGTTAAGAGTAAGAAAGATTCTTCCAGGCTCCAGAGGCTTAGTGGCTTCAACCTTGTTTGAGTCTTGGTTTTAAGGTCTAGGGCCATGTAGAACAAGTCCAGTAGTTCCCCGACATGGCAACCCTTCACATACTGGAAGACACCTATTTAAAGAAGTCCCTCTTCCCCTGCTCTTGAGCCTCTCCTTCCCTACTCCAAAGAATATTGTTTCACGTACCACCTGCCATAACTCAAAAAAACACAAAGGCTGCCAGGAGAAGGGAGCGGATCCCTGGCCAGGTCTGCTCACAAGAGCAGAGGTGGGAAAGAGCCTGCTGCAGCAACAAAGCCCAATCTGGGAAGGCAGGCCAGCAACCAAGCACAACATCCAAGGAACAAGGCAACATGGACCTGATTTAGGAAATAACCCTTATCTGGGTTTTGGTGGTGGGGGTGGGTAGGAATTTTTGGGGCCCAGCTATTGCAGAGCTATCAGTAAAGAGTAAATAGGTTGGTGAAGTCAGGAGGGTCGTCCATTACCATTCTGGAGGTCTAGCCACAGGAACAGAATCTAGCCACTGAGCAGAAACTCAGAGTAAGAGCCACAGTTCTCAAGAAGATCACCTGGCAAGACCAACACAGACTATGAAACTCAAAGAAGATCTTCAGTCCCAAACACTTGGTTACACAGACACAGAAAGAGCTGAAACTTGGAAGGCCAAGCAGTAAGGATCATGGGAGCCTGAGAATCATCTTGGGATACCACAGCCTACATCTGCTTGGCAATAAAATCGCTGGAATGTGATGTAGTCATCCCAGTGTTCACTGGGGCAATGCCATCTCAACATGGGAGATTCAGCAAACACAGCCGGCACTGGGCAAGATACTACTGCGGGCGAGGCAGAGAGAGAGTGTAATTAGTGATGTGCTCCAGTGGACTGTGGGGTAGGTTTAAACAGCTAAAGTGTTTTCTGCTTTAGTCAGAACAAATTCAGATTTGGGGAGGGCAACGATGGTGCACGTAAGAGGAACAAATAGTGAGGGAACAAAGAAGGCAGGAGGAGAGGTACTGGGGGCTGGCACTGTCGTTTTCTGGATGTTCTCTTCTAAAACATCAAGCTCAAAGGCAGTTCTCCAGATGAAGAAGCACTTCATCAGTGAAGAGTGGAACAGGACTCTTATTTCTGTCCACCCACATTATTTAGAAGGCCAAAGATCACAGAAGCCTTTTTATCAGCTACCCTGACATACATACACACACACACACACACACACACACACATATACACATGTGTATATATGTATTAACATATATATGCATACATATATACACAATGTTATAAATACATATTAACACACGTATATATATTTTTATATTTGACTAAAATCTAAATTTCTGTGAAATATGATGCTGCTAAGCTTTCTCTCTCCTTACTGTCCCGTTGCAATTTAACTGGGGGAGCAGGGTGCTTATATTGATCCCTGTGACATTTCTGCTTCTTAGATTTGGGTCACCGTATTAAATGTCAAGATGTTCCTAATTCTGTTTCCATCAGTTTTTACATCTGTTACCTCTCCCAACTTTGGGGCATGCATTTATACAGTTTTACTCACGTGAGGTCTGATGTGGACTAAGACTGGATATGGTTAAAATACCAAAAACTTCTCTTCAGGAAGAGAGCAATTTATTAATCAGTGCCCTCTAGATATAGCTACCAAATGAGTTATTAATCCAGCTAATTACACACATGCCTTATTTGTCCAAATACTAAATGTTAGTAATTTGACATACTTTTGGTAAAAACAAAAAAAATGTATCTATAAACTAATGCATGATATTTCTCATTAACCTGTCTGAATTCCCTGACAGGTTTAATACATTATCAACATAACAGAGATCAGCCTCAAAGTACAGATATTTCATTGACATTTCAATATTCAGTCCATAGTAATCATGCAAGAAAACTGTATTAAATATGTTCAATGACACAACAATTAAAGAGGTAGCCAAAGACAATGCATATGGGCTATGATGATGCCCTGTGCAATATTGGAAAAACATAACTAACAATGCTTCTGCCTCCCTTATCCTAGGATTCTTGTTTTCATCAGCTGCTCTTCTCCCCTTGCTAAGCTCCCTCGTGTTTCCTGGTTGCTTTTTCTTGCTGCTTCTCCCAGCTGTGCCTCTCGTTTTTTCCACTCCCCAGCTGCTTTGGCTCACACTTTCAGCCTTCCTGGTATTTACTGTGTTAACAGTTCTAGTCTTCATGCCATCTGATGTCTCCTATTTCATTTTTCACACACTTGAACAGCTGAAATCCCTGATGTATGCAAAGCAGAAGTCCATTAAAAGAGGGTTTTCTGGGTTTTATTTTTATTTTTTTTCATTGAGTACAGAAAAAAATGGAAGCAGCGAGAAGGGGTAGTTCACAGAGCTGCCAAAAGAGGCCACTGTGAAGATAAGATGAAGGCAAAATATAATAATAATCAGATTTCTTTAGGCATCAAAAAGACTATAAGTATGACACTGGAAAAATAGTTCCTTCTGCAAATCCTCTTCAGTGGTATGGTTTAACGAAAACTCTGTAATCCCCTTTCCAAGAGGAACATAATTTTCTTGAATTCTAGGAAGCTGATGATAAAAATCCTTAACGATGTATCCTTACACTATCTACAACATACAGGACTCAGGTAAGACAGATACAGTTATAATACCTACATTGGGTTTTTTAAAATGACATTTTATTAGCAAAAAATCTTCTATTTCTAAGTATGCTACCTGGAAAGAGGCTTAAAATGCCATGATTTAGTACAAGCCTTATCTGTATGCATCCATCCCAAGTGTGGCTTGGATATGAATTCCTTGCACTTTCAATATCAGCAGAGAAATAATGAAAATGACCAAAGAGTTCAACAGGAAAATAAATATTTCTTGTTGGCACAGAATAGAATAGTTTATAATGTGCAGCATGATGTATTTAAGAGAAGTTCTATAGCATGCTTCTCGGGCATCTGAATACAAAGCAAGATTAGATTCAGTACTTAAATGTTGCTTGAGTGAATAGAAAACATAATAAATTGACTCCTCTAATTATTAGTTTATAAATTGATAGCAAAATACAGATTTTAAAACATCTTCTTTTAGGCAATGTAAATAAGCACCAGATACTAGCCAGCATACCTACAGAGGATATTCATTCAGTCTTTTGTTCATTTTCTTTATTCACCTGTCATGTTACTTCCTTGCTTATGAATACAGTGACCAAAAAGTAAATATTATTCCAGTCCTTTCCAGTCTGCACATTTAGGAACTTTCTTTTGGACTGGAACTTTAGCTGTCTAGAGCTTTGGCTTGTCTTGGCCTAATGCACATGCCCTATCCTGCCACTGTGCATCATGGGCAGCTAACTGGGTAGCCACCTGGAACACCGTGTTGCTTCTCACAGAGCCTCAGGTCTGCCTCAAGCCTTTCCTGATGAGAAACAGTTCTCTGACTTCTGAGTTATCTAATCTTGGGATCACTCAAGGGGTTATGGGGTTGGAGGGTTGCTGCCCCAGCAGAAGTTGTGTGAATGGGTATGTATGTCGGTGGCGAGAGGCAGGCTAGAAAGACTTCCCTTTCCCCAGGTCTGAGCCACAAACATAACCCAGGCCACTTTTCCTTACCTTCACCTCCACCTCCATTGTGGTGGCTTAGCCATTTCACCGATGCTACCTATGCTTCTTCCCCTAATCAGGTGATTTGGTGTTAGAGCTGGTGCAAAAACAAACAAACAAACAAACAAGCAAAAAAAACTCATCCAAAGATTATTCTGCAATGCCACGTCTACATGAGGCATATCAAAATGCTTGCTTAAATGTGGAATATTTACGATATAGCTACATATGTATAAGAAGACATTAACCAGTTATCATGTATGACTGTTCTTCAGTACATTATTATTTTTTAAGGTTCTTCCATTTATTTACTATCTAGAATATATTTCCTTCAAACTGATTGTTTATAGAACTAATTGTTATTATGTATACCCTATGTTTTACTTTATTGTTTTGATATCCAGACTAATGGCATTTTAAGTGACATGTGAAATTTGGACTTTACTACTGCAGACCTTTGGCTATCTAGTCAAAGAAGGAATATGGGCTCTTCTGATTGATCAAATAAGGGTGGAAGAGGAAAGAGAAGAAGGAAATAAGAAAGGAGAAAGAAAAATCAGATGTGAAAGACTGTAAACTCCCTTGTACAAAGGCACAATGTCTATTACAGCTGGTAAAAATCATGACAACAAATGCTCCCAAGGGTAACATGGCTGCATCTTTGCATGGAAAACTGAAGCAGCAGACAGCAGTTTCCACATTAATCTGCCAAAATGGGGAAAATTAGTGTCACCCACAAGACTAGAAAGAAGAAACAAAGAAACAAAAACACCCCTTGAATTTTAACCATGAGAGTGAGGAGCAAGAAAGATAGGAGCAGCCTCCTCCCTGTAAAATCACTTTTTTTTTTTTTTTTGTCTGCCATCAACAGGTGTTGCCATGGTAACTATCCTGTAGTTAAGAAGTAGTAGAGGCAAAAAAATCCATACAAAACCACAATAGAGGGACAAAATAAGAGAGATGTGTTACAGCAAAACTAACCTCAGACCTACCAGAATGAGCAGCCAGAGGTTTGACTGGCCATTTACCAGATCTTCACATTATTTGAAAGAGATGCTGGAAGGAGAGAAGATGTCAGCCCAGACTATGGTCTCGGGAGGAACCAACACCAGGGAAGTATTGTGGGGGCTGCTGTGGCTCTCCATTTGTCTTCAGTTCCATTTTATATCCCTATTCCCATTTGTACATTTTAGCTGTTTGATGACTTTGCGGAGGAAAGCTGCAATTGTGCTGTGTTATGTCTGGAAACTTCTAAAAAGTAAACATATCACTGAATGACTTCCTTGATTACACTTCTACCTCTTTTAGGTAGTACATTTAGTAATAATTTCTCTGTTTTCTCCCCTTCAGATGGAGAAGCTCAGGATTGCATGCTACGAATTAGTGAAATAATTCATAGCTAATTCTTCTTATGAACAAATATCGCCAATATTTGTCAGCCAGGTACCAAGAAATACCTCAGAGCCTGGCGGGGATCAAAACCTCATTTCTTTGGCTCTTTCTCCATTGCTCACAGCTCATGATAATACCCATAGTTAGTATCATGAATGAGGAAATAACACTATTTCCGAAATTAAATTCTGCATTTTCACTTTGTAAGCTATTGTTGCTGGTCTCCCAAAGGGCACAATCTTAACCCCTTTGTCTACCAAACTTCTTGTTGTTCAAATGACCAATCTGCTTTATAAATAAATAACACAGATTAGTATACTTTGCTAACGTCTGTGGTTCTTCAGGATTAAGGCAGCTGACAGAACAAGATTTGGGAAGATAAAGTCTGAAAGGTTTAGCTCGAGAGATAAATCCATGGGGTACCAACTATACTCTGCTGAGGCCGGACAGGCATCGGTGTCATAGAAAACAGCCTATGCCTCAACAGCCAAGGCTCCCGCCCATTTCTGGGACTCAACGTCCCCTTCCATAAAGACATGGAAGCATTACCTCATCCAAAGGGTCAGTGTGAGGCTCAAACGAGATAATGCTGTGAAAGCATTTGGTCACTAACTGCAAACCACTAGGCATATACAAGCTGATTTGGAAATACGGTTATCACTTGTTTTTCAAGCTTTCTGCTATGTTAACATCACCTTTAACACACTTTTTTATGATAAAATAAGTAGGCCATGACAATTTTCACAAGATAATTTTGGCAAAAAATCTTTTTCCTCTTAATCATTTGGAGGTGCTCATCAGATTTGGAAACCATTTTCTTCTATGAGTTCTCTTTCTTTAACTTTTTGTTCAGGTTAGTAGATTTGTATCACAGGGTGGGTAGGTGTATGTGTGTGTAAAACAGAAAGAGCAGTGAGGAAGAGAAGGAGGAACAGGAGAGTCAAGCAGAGATGGGAAAACACAGAGAGGAACAAGTAAAGGTGTTAAAGAAGAGAAGGGGTAAAGACTTTTCCCTCCCATTTCAGAGATAAGTACCTATCCCTGAGGTGTTACTTTGTTTGCAATTTATGGATCACTAGGGATAAGTCATAGGTGGCCGTTTTGGTGGCTGTATACACTCTAGCAGAAGAGATTCTGGGAATGACATTAATTTCTGCAACTGGCTCTCATCTCATGGCACTGTTTCTCCATTCTTATGCTGATGGGCTCCACCAATCATAGTTGAAGATGCATAAATCCTCCTATTTCTCAAACTAACACTCCTAGACCCCTTTTACAATAAAATACGTACTTTGTCTTTTTTTATTAATAGCTCCCTTTAAAATGTTGCGCTTATGCTTCTGAGTGTTTTGAATTCATGCTCCCCTTACCCCATCCCTTCCACCCCTCCTCTACTTTCCCATCTTTACCACCCCGCTGTTCACCACATTCACCCACTGGTGAAGTCTCAAGTCTCATGGATTCTGTCTCCTTACCTGTTATAGTAAATGTCCAGTTTTGGTATACTGCATGCTTACTGAAAAACTTCACAGAACACACAGGATATAGAGTATTACGTTTTAAAAAAGAATATTCCTTTTCACTATATTCCCTAATCCCACAGGTAAGCAATGTTAGAGTTCAGTACAAATACTTTAAAAAGGTCTGGAAAGATAGAAAAATCAAAAGGTTCTTTCTTTCTTTGTTACATATATAGTACCCTATACTAGTCACTGTTCAACAGTTTCATTGTGTTCATTTACTGTGTGTTAGAGAATGTTCCATGTCAGTACGTATAGGGTTATCTCATTCCTTTTAGTAACTATAGAACATTCAACGAATGGTGTGGTTATACTATAATTGGGCATTTTGTGCCAATGGATACTTAGATTATTTTTGGTTTTCCTCAATTACAAATGACATTACAATGATTAGTCCTGCATATATATTTCAGCACATGAGTGAGTATAGATAGGATTCCTAGACATGGAGTTGCTGAGTCAAAGGGCATGCACACTTTCATTTGATTCTCCTGCTCCTTACTGACCTAAAACCAAAGTTTTATTAATATATGGTATGTAACGGTAAAAGGGAATATAATCCTTTGTTCTTCTGGGTTTCGCCGCGAATCAATTCATTTCTTTTAGTACCTTCTGGGAATTCTTAAATATCCTTCTCCACTGGTGGTCTTTCTCCCTGACTTTCTAGTCCTGCTGTGCATGTGCAGATTTCTTTTTCTTCTTCTTTTTAAACTTGAAGAATCTGGAGTGTGAAGGATAAAGTAAACAGCCCACAAGGCTTCTTACGCGGTCAAGGCCAAGAGGTTCCCAACTACTCGTGCCCTTTTCGCATTCATCCTCCACACAATTCTCCCAGTGACTTTCTGAAATGCAAATATTAACACTTGACTTCCCTGCAATAAGATCTGAATGCCTGGGGCCAGTAATGGGTTGAATTTTGTCCCCTAAAAAATGTTAGAGTCTTAACCCCCAGTACCTCAGAATGTGACTTCATTTGGAAACAGGGTCCTTACAAAGGTAATCAAGTTAAAATGAGGTCACTAGGGTAAGCCCTAACCCATTAGGATTGATGTCCTTACATAAAAGGTGGAAATTTGGATACAGAAACAGATGTGCCTAGAGGGAAGCAGATGTGAAGAGGCACAGGGGACACGCCATCTGAAGCCAGAGGCAAAGGCTGGAATTTTGCTGTCACAAGCCAAGGAATGCCTGACCTACCAGAAGCAGGAAGAGGCAAGGAAAGATCCATCCCCTGCAGGCTTTGGAGGGAACATGGTCCTGCTGACATCTTGATTTTGGACTTTTGGCATCCAGAACTGGGAGAAAATACACTTCTACTGTTCTAAGCTACCCAATTTGCTGTACTTTTTTACAGCAGTCACAAGAAACTAAAACAGTGGGTCAAGTCCAACTCCTTAGGGATCTCACATAGCCCCTTTCACACACTGATGCACAGCCTCAGAATCCCCCTCACAACTTCTCCTGCAACCACCCTACTGCCTTATCTGCTTACATCCAAAGGCTCTAGGATGCTTCCTATGTGGGTGCATTTGAACACACTGGTCTCTCTACCTAAATGTGCTTCTCCCATTCCCTAAGCATGACTACTGTTCCATTGCTTATCTGCAGCTCCACCTTCACCATGAGCTGTTTCTGGCACCCCTCCCCACCAGTTTCCCTGGGCAGAACTGGCTGTCCTTGTGAGTGCCCCTATGCTGCACCTGGAGTATTTTGATGTTATTTTGCACTCGCTTGTTTATACGTACCTATCACCCACTTCTACGCTGCTCCTTGAAAGTAGAGCCATTCAATGTCTCCTAGCAAAGTCACCGCACACAGAATGTCCAAAGTGGGATTTCGCTGGCTGAACCATACACGAGTGCCACAAAAATATAACAACTGTAAGAAATGTATCATAATTTTTTATTTTGTTAAACATGCCTCATGCAACGAGGTAGAGTATGTCAGGCTGACCGCAAATGACTGATGCTGATAATGGCTGAAGAGTACTTTCCTGGGCACTGAATTTGTGGCTATTTTCAGATTATTATTTTTGATGACATTCATTCTTCTGATCAATATCATTTAGAAACTAGATTTTGCCATCAGATACTGCGAACTCTAACAGCTCCAATCATTAAATACATGTGTCTGGATAAAGCTGCACTATGGTGCTTAGTCTCTGATGTCCACTGACTGTCTCCTTCATTTAAGAGCAGCTCACTAGAGACAGAAAGTACATCAGTAGTTGCCTAGAGCTAGAAGGAGTGTGAGATGGGGAAATTGGAGGTGGGGTGACAGCCTAGGGGTGAGGGATTTCCTTCTGGGGTTATGAGAATGTTCTAAAATTGATTGTGGTGATGGTTCCACAGCTGAATATACTGAAAGTCACTAAACTGTATACTTTAAATAGGTGAATTGTACAGTATGTGAAAGATACTATATCTCAATAAGTTGTTTCTTTAAAAAAGAGTGGTTCATTCAACCCATCCCAAACTACAAGGATTTCTGTTAAAACAAGCCAATTCTTTCACAGACAAAATAAAATAGACCTTCTGCATTAATAAAAAAGAAAAATACTGCAGCCTGTAATATTTATAGCATCCAAAAGAAAACTTGACAGATAAGGATATCTCACGTCAGACCCATTTACTCTGAACCATCCCATTGCTTTAGCACTGGCCATGTAACAGCATAACTCGACCTCACAACTTTCCTTCTGTCTTACATTATCCTGATTCTCTCCTCTTTTTCTCTGTGTCATTAGGGATACTCTTATGTCAGTAAATGTTAGAGCTGGGAAGGAATTAAGACATTCATTTGGTTCCAAAGCCCTCATTTTACATATGATAAAATGACAGCCAAGAAGAGAATCCTAAAAACCTACCAAACTTTTGGTCTTGGAGAGGATATCAGTTACAGAGTGAATCCAATGACCTCGGTGCAAGGCAGTAATCTTTGTCAGTGTGTCAGGCAAAAGAACGCATCTCTAATGCTTTGCAAACTGTTTAGTAAGCCTTCCAAATAAATGAAGTATTGGATGACTAAAAGCACGCATCCTGGTGCTTATCCATAAACTGTTTTACGGATACGTTTTAGTTTTTACCACCTATCTTGTGACTGCTTGTCCCATCTCCCCAGTGAAATTTCAAACTCCTCCATGATAGGAAAGGCAGCTGATGTGTCCTTTCCCCCTTCTCTTATCACCATTTGATACCCAAAGCATTCAGCAAGGAGTTAACATTTGCTTTATGGGTACAAGATAGACCTATAGCAGAGTTTCATATCAAAAATTTTTTTCTTTTTAGTAACATTGTTTTTGGGCAAACATAATTTAACGCATGGAATAACAAAATCTATTGTAGTAATCCCGTAATTGATCACAACCACTCCTGGAAGCCCCATTTCTAAGGTCTTTTTTTTTTTTTAATTTCCAATTTTTATTTTAAGTTCAGGGGTACATGTGCAGGACATGCAGATTTATTACACAGGTAAACGTGTGCCATGGTGGTTTGCTGCACAGATCATACCATCAACTAGGTATTAAGCCCAGCATCCATTATTTATTCTTCCTGATGCTCTCCCTCCTCCCACCCCCCAACCCTCTGGCAGGTCCCAGTATATGCTGTTCCCACCATGTGTCCATGTGTTCTCATTATTCAGCTCCCACTTATAAATGAGAACACTTGGTATTTGGTTTTTTCTTCCTGTATTAGTTTCCTGAGGGTAATGGTTTCCTGCTCCATCCCTGTCCCTGCAAAAGACATGTTCTCGTTCCTTTCTGTGGCTGCACAGTACTCTATGTTGCATATGTGCCACATTTTCTTTACCCAGTCTCTCACTGATGGGCATTTAGGTTGATTCCATATCTTTGCTATTGTGAATAGTGCCGCAATGAAGATACGTGTGCATGTATTTTTATAATAGAACAGTTTACATTTCTTTGGGTATATACGCAGTAATGGGGTTGCTGGGTCAAATGGTATTTCTGCCTCTAGGTCTTTGAGGAATCACCACATTGTCTTCTACAATGGTTGAACTAATTTACCATCCCACCAACAGTGGAAAAGCATTCCTTTTTCTCTATAACTTTGCCAGCATCTGTTTCTTGACTTTTTAATAACAGCCATTCTGTGATGTGAGATGGCATCTCATTGTGGTTTTGATTTGCATTTTTCTAATGATCAGTGATTTTGAGTTTTTTTCATACGTTTGTTGACTGCATGAATGCCTTCTTTTGAGAAAAGTCTTTATCTTGGTGGAATGTATATAATAATCACTTAAACAGAAACAGAAGCCTTTAAAATCAAAAGGCTCTTGTCTCGTGCGTATGGGCATGACGCGGTAAGCAGGATTCCACAGGGTCCACTCAGATGGACACACACTACAAACTTCAACTTTAAAAACTATGTCAGAGCTAAATGTCTTTTAGAGGTAGCTTCTAATGTAACCACAAACAAATTTTTCCCGTGGTAAAGGAAATAGCTTCTCTCTGCAACATGTCCTTACATAGGTCATATATTCAGGAAATTATAGGCTCTTTGCTATCGAAATCTGATGATTAGTCATGGAGTTCAACATATAATTGGAGACCCATACTTAAATGTAATTAGCCAAGATAAACTATAGAGAGAATCATGCAAATATATGAAAGCCATTGTTAGAGTTCAGTGTTCTAGGATACAATAAAGAAAAAAGTAAACCTCTCCTACACATGTTCACAAATAAGTACTCAAATGCACCACTTCCGAAAGCTCCCTGGGTAAGGAACTCCCTAGTTCCTATGGTTAGAACTTTCCAGCCCACTGTAACCCGATTCACCAGCCTTGACTTCTTTCCAATACAAACTCACCGTCCCAGCTTGTGCCTTTGCTGATACCATTCTTGCCTGGAATGCTCTTCCCCCTTCTCCCCTGACCACTTAGTTCTAAGTCCTGACTGTCCTTTTTAGCAAGGCTTATTCTTTTCTTTCTGCCCTTAGATTCTGCCCAGTTCACTTGACATCAAATATTATATTACCTGTCTTATATTGGGGGAGAATTCTTTTTTCCCCTACACATTTCAAGCACATAACACCTCTCTTTCCATCTCTTCATGTACTCCACCCAAAGGGAGGCTGAGTGACATACATGCCTAATGGGCAATTTGAGGAAGCATCTCCTGGACTCAGCTCTTGCCTTCTCTCTGTAGGGAGCAGGGCTACCATCCAGGAATATGAATTCTCCTCTGATCCTCCAGCAAATAATTTGAGTTGATTCTTTGGGCCCAGAGAGGCCTGCCCCAGCCACTGTGACCTGTGCTTAATTCCTGGGTTCCATATTAGGAGAACAAATAAACCATGCCCTGCAGCCTGGCCTTTACAGATAATAAGGGTGATGTTGGAGCCTTATCTGACAACGATTTTATCTTATCTCTTAGTTTTTCTCAGAACTTGGGAAATTCAGGGTGGTTGTCATTATTATGATTTATATCAATGACGCCAGCATCACTCATATATATAAACGTACATACATTTATTAGATGATCTTAAAAGCTGACGTGAAATTGTGTCCCATCTCCCTGCCTGGACAGTTCTGGGTCATGTTTCATAAGTCTTTGCAGCCCAGTGTTTCATTGCAATATATAATATACAGTACAAACAAACTCAAATGGGTTCAATCATTAATATATCATCAATTAAGGACATAAAGAGAAAATAAAACAAAATTTAGGACTATAATACTTGTGATTCTGGCTAATGATTATGACTTTATTAATGCATTTTTGGTGTCATTTAGAAGTCCTAACATACAATCATTACAGGCAGGGTGAATATAAAATGAATATATGCTCTATACTGTGATCCTGCAAAGCAAACCTAATTGCACATTGAGCAAGAAGAAAGAATAAAAGATAAGCATATACCGATTGATTTTCTTCATCAAAACCCACAAAACCTCACTTCAACAAAGCCTGTCGTTAGCTTCACAACATATCTAAGAGTGAATTTTATGTGATATATGTCCTAATCTAATTTCCAAAGAAGTGACAGCAATAAGCCAGCTTCTCATTTACTTACATCTTAAACCTTTATACTACGTGCTACATTATCTTTTGCCGACTCCTAATCACATGTACACAAAAAGCTATTAATGTACAATGCTGCAGGGAAGTAATGATTTATTTGTTTATGTATATTTTTCAATGTCCACCTATGAAAACGCAAAGTAAACTAGGTACATAAAGGAATTACAATTATGCCTAAATAAATATAGGGTTTAAAAAATGCTAAGTCAAATAATTTATGATAAATTGCTAATATGTCCTCAATTTTACTGTGAGTGCATTAGCTTATTTTAAATATGCATTTGTTGAATGCTAACTGTATGTTAATATTAACAAACACTGGGCACTAACAAGCAGCACATAGCAAAATAATAATGCCAGAAAGGATTCCTTATATCACCATTTTCCAGTTTTCTAAAATGTGCCACACATTTTCCCTTTAATTCTCACAGTCTTCCATTAAAACGACAGGAAACATCGCCATGCCTATTTTACAAATGGGTAAACTGAGACTGAGAGGTTCAGTGATATTACTGAGGACTAACAGCGCTGGTACTCCAGTCTAGACTGCTGACTCCCAGGAGTTAATCATTCATTTGGAGATTCAATAAATATTTACTGAGTACCTACCATACAACAAACCCCATGCTGGGACTGGGGGAAAACTGCCTTAAAATTAATACAACATAATCATTACTTTATAACTTAAACATGTTTCATTGTTATTCCTCAATGCTCAAAACAGAATGATAGGGTTTCAATTAAAATTGAGACTATAAATTAAAAATATCCTTTGGCATTTTGCAATGAAGCATTTAATCCTCTTATCAAATGAATGAGAATTTAATCACATATATTAGTCTACCTCATTCATATACCCAAAAGCCAGAATTTATCTAATAAAGCAAACTTTGATTTAAACATTCACAAGAAGAGTGGTAAGAATGTGGCTGCAGAAGACCCTCTTTGAAATTCAGTTTTGAGTTTTATGCTTCTAAAATCACAGGGATCTGAGGCTCCAGCACCATGCTGCAGTTCTCAAGTCACAATTTTAGTATGAAGTTACCCCTTCATAAGTGTAGCTGTCATAAAATGCCATGACAAGATATGGGAGAGAGACCAAAGCTTAGTCCTGAAATGAAAAAATAAATGGTACTCACAGTCCTTTCTATCTATATTTGCCTATAAGTTAATTCATGTGTGGTAAATACATTTAGATTTAAGGCATTTGGATTCCTTCCAGATAGGAAAACAGACAGACAAGCAAACCCAGTAAGGCAATGTAGAGAAACCCACTGAGGCAATGAAAGGAGAAAAGTAGGTGCTTGAGTCCATCAGCTGGTGAGTCAACTCCACAGTCACATCCCCACATTCCTGCTGCATGAGCTGGCAGAAGCCAGTAGAACATGTGCTCATTCCAAAAGAAACACAAACTCACTGCCTTCCACCTCCCAGAAACATCAGCCTTATAATAATTGAACAAGTAGAGAAGGTGGCCAAAGTGAATTTGAGTTGCCTATATTCTTCTACCACTCTCTTTCTCTAGAGGATTGTGACTTTACATTTGTCTTACATTTTACTTTTCTTGAGATAAAGCTTATACATATATATGCCTCTTAATGAATGCAGCATTATTTCTTATGCTGTCTTTCTTACAGATGGATGGGTTTTTCTCCATCCATCTGTAAGCTGTCTCTGATACTGAGCGCTGGGCTGGATGACGCGATGCCAGCTCTATCACATGCCCAAGTTAAGCCTGAAGGCTCTGCTCTTATGTAAAATGAGCACTACTGGATTAGTGTCCCTGTTAGATGTGATAAGAGGAAATAGAAAAATGAGAACAGAGAAGTCCTAATTTACATGAATCACAGCCAGGTGCTCTTTAAAAACGACTTAAGATTTTTGAAACCATCAGCCCCAAACTGTCACATAAATTGCTATAGATGGGCACATCTACTTAGGTATTTCTCTGTGTTCAATTAATTAGAAATCTAAATCTTCTGTTCATCTTCCCACCTTTTTTTGGCTTATTGCACATATATAAGATTTTGGCAACCCAGGAAAAGAAAAACATCAGAAGAGACCTAATTTATAAATGGATCTTATTCCAAAAATTCATCTTTAAGTCATTAGGAACACTGAACATCCTTTCTCATTAGAATGATGAGAAAAGGAGGGTTTTTACGTTCTTAAGACAAACAGGTCATAACAATTTTTGTAAAATTAAATGACTATAGAAAACAGAGAAACCAATGAACATTAAACTCTATTGTACTCTGATATTTCCTTTGATTTTTAATTTTGTGTAAATATTTAGCAAGTTGCCGTCAGCAAATATAGTGTTATGTACCGTTTTCAGTTACATACAAAATGCATTTCTATGTTTCAAAATAGCCTGCATAAATCATTTTGAAGACTATAAACTATTAAATATTTTTATATCCT